TTTGTAGCGTCGAGGGGAGGCAGAGTGTGGTCAGAGCCGCTCCGGTGTGGTCGTGGCCGCGGTTTCCCCCCACCCTTTGCCAGGGGCCTTCTTGTGCCGCGCGTCGGCCCGGTGTGGCGGAGGGCACCGAGGCCTGCGGGAGGCCTTCCTGTGGCTGTAAACCTGCCTTGGGCCTTCCCGGGACACGAGAAGTCTGAAATGGGAAAAAGGGAATGTGGCACTTGGCGGCAACTGTGTAGAAATCGAGTTGGATCAGTGTGAGAATCGGAGGGCACGTGCAAGGCACTCTCTTGTGATCTGCTGGAGAGGCTTCTTGCTAAAGCTGCTCCAGCAAAAACTCGATGTAAAGTAGCCTTCAGCAGTTTCTGAATATCTGTTGTCCTCAGAAGTGAGGAAAAAATTGAAGTTTAAGAGGTTGTATGCTGTGTCTGCAGCAGTAAAGGAGCATTTGCAGAGCCGTGGTGTCAAGTAGGGTGTTTCTCCTTTTCTGTGCTGACTTTACCAACTCATGAAGACTTTAAGGTGGTGCTTCTCAGCTGCCAGAACTCGGGTCTGATTTGGAATCAGTTGGATCTTTGTTCTTCGCTTGTGTGAAGGTCAGCCTGGTAAAGGCAGGTGTGTTTCCTCAGTGACCATCAAAGAGGGTTATTGCAGAAGAAACATAGCTTAATTCTTTTACTGCAGCGTGATTGGGGTGAGGGTTTTTGTTTGGTTAGTTTTGGGGACGGTTTGGTGGGTTTTTTTAACAACTGTTCGTTTTTCCTTTTGATTGCAAAAGTGAATATCGTATTGCACTCTTGAATAATGGGGTTCCTTCTTATTCCTCATGATAGTGACTTCAGTGACTGTGGAGTTGTGTGTTCTGCTGGGCTTTTAATGGTTTTGAAGTGGCATTAAAGGTTCTTTTTGTTCAGTAAAGTAGCTGGTCACCGTTCCTGAATGAAAACAGAAAGACACTCAACAAGAACAAAATATAAAATCTAATTCTATTTTTATGCCGTTTAGTAATAAGAGAGTATCTTTGGTTATTACTGTAAATATTTCTCACTAGTGTCTTCACACATTCATTTTATTTAAAAATAAAAGATGTTCCCAGTTGTGTGCCTTGTCCTTCACAGTGGTTTTCAATATCTGTACAGTTCCAGGTGGGGAGAGGAGGTGGTTGTTACATGTAATTGTGCATAAACATTTTTCCTTTTCTTTAGCTAGTTGGAAAATTTGCAGCCTGAGATTAAAAAACTAGCTGAGCGTCTTCGCTATGAAGTTGCTGTTCGTGGAAAGCAGCTGGGTTGGTCTGAAAAGGTGGCCAGGTAAGATGGCGATGATACACACCTTAGAAACCCATTCCAGACTGAGAGGTGGCAGGAGAGAAAGTCCTACAAACGACAGTCTTACAGCAAGATTCTGCCCTTGCCCAAAGCTCAGATATTCATTCCACTTTTATGACTTCTTTATGTTTGTTACGTTGCGCTTCAGAGTATATCCACTGTAAAGCTCTGAACTTCGATAGGCTTATGATTACAGGGCCCAGTCCAGGATTGGTTTTGTTAGCTTGACTTGTGGCTACAGTTTCTTTAGCTATTATGGTATCTAAGAATTGCTGGAACTTGAGGCTCGAGTGGTTGTGGGTCCTGTTCCTTCGTTCGTGTAGTACTGCACGCCGTGCAGCAGCAGTGTACTTGAGCTGGGATACTGAGGATCACGTAACTGGCTGATTGCCTCTGTGCTGAGAAAATTACACCCTAGTTCAGACAAAAAGCACCATGAAATAAAGTATCATGTAAGTTCCTGGTAGCTGCTAATGACAAGGGGAAATTTTGGTGTGAAAACCTGCTTAAAGCAACAGGGCTAAAAGTTGTGAGGGAAGGGCCTTGGCAAAGGAGAGGGGCGTGTTTGAAGAGGAGAGATTTTCGGGGTTTCCGCAGCTGCACGTAAAGAAGCCAATTTGACATGCACAGCCTGTAGAGGTGTTACTTGAGAACCCTGTTACTCTGGAGCAGGTGTTGAGAGGGGACTTTTTTATTTCTTTTTAAAAGGTTTCACTTTAAGAAAAACCTCCGGAGGATTATTACAGAGCTGTACATTCGAGACAACTGCCATCCCTTCAAAGCCACTTTGCTGGTTTGGGTACAGGTTCCAATGTGGGTTTGCGTGTCCGTCGCTTTGCGCAACTGCAGCGTAGGTGCCGTGGACTCGGAAGGTGATTTATCTGAACAGACACGCTCCTAACAGCTGGTTTTCATTCAGTTACAGTTCTTATGTATGCTTTGTTGGTTAAAGAACACAATGTCCTGAGCTTGATATATAAACTGATAGCAAAACTACTCCACTACAGAGTTTTTAAGCTTAATATAATTTAAGCGTAGATAAATATCTAATAAAAATAAAAATTAATTTCAGAGACTTTGTTTAGGTACATTGTACACGTTGTACTAAATTAAAACATAGTTCATATAGCCAAAGAACTGGCATCTGGACCACACCTGTACTTTTCTTTGGTCTGAACTCTTCCAGCACGTATTTGCAGCACCCAGAGCATCACTGAGCTCTGCTTATACACTCATTATTTGGGATAGTGGTGTGAGCTTTGTGGGATGCCTCTTTAAAAGCAGTATCGGGGTCTGAGCTCTGGGAGCAATGTGAGGCATTTTGTTGGGCCGTGTGAGCGTTCAATTATTTCATGGTCTTCTGAAGATGAGGTTACTAGAAAAAAAAATTTGTCTTGGGATTTTTCTGGTTCATGAGATAAAGCATATTTAGCAAGTGATATTACCCACGCTACAGCACATTAGCTATTAATCTGTATCTTTTTCTTCCATGTGAAGTACTATAGACGTGTGTGGGGTTTCTTTTTTTTAAATTAAAGTACTGATACTTTCATTTTAGAAAAGAGTTTATAGTTTGTTCTTCTGAACAAAAATGCAACAAGTTACATAGTTATAAAGAAAAAAGTAATTATTTCAAACCCACAAAATATGTAGTCACTGCAATACAGGTTGTCCTCATTGGCTTGTAAAATGAGGTTGAGATCAAGCTAGCTTCTTATTGGAGGTTTACCCGAGTCAGTGGCTGTCATGAGCTAAGCTGGATCTCAGCTTGTATCTCCCACCATTTTCACTTGTATTGATAGCAGACCACCTTGACATGTGGTCTCTTAAACCACAAACATTTCTGCTTTAGTAGTATTTATCATGTAGATAAAATATACCTAGAAACTTGAATGATTTGATTGTAATAAATGCTGTGGTTCTGGGTCACGTGAGGTAGCAAATCATACTTAATTCCGTATTTTCTTTAAACCATTCTTGTAGTTCAAGAACAGTTTTCAGCAGGCGGAACGTTGTGGTTTACAGACCTCACTGCACCAGATTCTACGTGGATTTTGCCAGTTTCTCTTGGGCTCGTGAATTTGCTGATAGTGGAGGTAAGTTGGTGGAATAGATAGGATGGTTGCAAAAGGATAATTCTTTTTATAGAATAAACCAGATATAAAACAAGGTAGCAGAAGGGTAGTTTCAGATTATGACTGCTTTAAATGCATTGGGCAGATCTGAAAAATAACTGAATTGTTCTATGCGTGTCTTCTTTAGGAATGACAAATTCTGATGTGACGTGTCTCAGATACTTTATTGGCTTTACTTGAGCCTCAGTAGAGTTGAGTCTTGACTGTGAAGTTTGTCTTAGGATGATGTTCTGGGTGTTAAGCATCCAAAAAGACATATGGGGGTTTTGGTTTGTTCTACTCACTCCACCTCCATTTATTTATTACTGCCTTGTGGTCAAAACTAATTATATTATGTGTTCTTCATTAAAAAAAAAATAATTTTTTAAGATTGCTGAGGAGGTTAATCAACAGAAAAAAAAAAGGGAAAAAAGTCTTCCCTTTTTTGGGGGTAATTTAATGGAAATAATTTTCTTGATTTTTCTGTTAGACGTTCTCATCAAAAACTAACCCTCTGGATTTCATTCATACTCTCTTTTTTTCTGTGTCATGTGGACTGAGACTGTCTTAGAGAAAAATGATCTGTGACTGTAGACCTGATTCTGCTTTTGCTCGGTTTTCTGTCGGCCGTCTTTGGCCTGTTCCCTGTCGGCAGTCTTTTCTCCACGGGCTGTGCTTCAGGCTGAGGCGTTGGAACTTTTGGATGTGCAAAAGTGACTGTGTAAAGCTGCATTACCTTGAAATGACTGTTAGGTACTCTGCTGGGTTGGTACAGTATTTCCTACAAAGAGCTGAACATGTAAAACAGCGAACGAGTTAAATGCAAGGTGGTAGCAGTATGTTAATTGAAGTGGAGGATGCCGAGCACAAGTAGCAGGTGAACAAGAGTGCTGGGTTTTAGGACACTCCACCATTGCCTTTTTTCCTCATTTTAGTTGTTTCAAAAAGAACTTGTTTATAACTGGTTTCCCCCATTTCAGATCTTTGCTTCACAGAAGATGAAAGTTTCCACGTTCCAGAAGCTTGCTACGAATTTCTTTCGAGTGGTGTCAGTAGTAATGATCCCTGTTGCTGCATCAGTCCCCTCTGTAAGTACAGAGCCTTAGTGGCACATCGGTTAACCTGGGACTCTGCATCTGTTAACCTGGTGCTTAAAGAGCAGCGCAAATGCCTGGTGTATGTAATAGACCATACTCTGTGCTACAGTGTGCCCTCAAATAAGTAAAATGTTTTGTTTATGTCCATGTTTAAATTCTTAACACATTTGGAACATCTTTATTCAAGAGGGAAGAATCTGCAAACTTACCATTTTTAAATCATTTTCACAAACTAGGGCTTGGAAGAACATTTGGAGCGCATTGGCATCCTTTTTGTGATCTCAGAAATGAGAGGAAAACTTGATATGAGAATGTGTAGGCAAAGGTTTGCCAAGTGTTTACTTACGGTGAGAGGAAAACAGCGTAGTTCTTAGGTTAGGAAATTTTCCGTGATCTTAAAACACTTCTCATTTTTACCAGGTGTTCTACTTCTGAATATTTTTGCAGTGGTTAGCAGAAACAAACTATCTCGTTGTTTAAATCATCGCCTCACAGTTTGAAGTACAAAAGTTCAAGCAAGTTTAATATGAATTAATTTGTGAACTGTTGTCAAACTTCAGTGTAGATGACCTTTTTCCCCAGAACTCTTCTTCCCAGAATAGTTGAGAGAGTGAAAAACACATTTGAAATGGAAGCCATTGTTGTTATTGAGAGGAGTGGTTTTAGGTGAGTTACTTTTCTCAATAACTGGGAGTAACCGGCGGTTGTGGTTCATGAAGAGCTGCCTGAAATTGTAGCGTTTCCGTTGCCTCTAGGCTGAACTCGGTGTTTGTCTCGTTGCAGTCCATGGCGTTGTACTGGCTGTCCTCGAGCTTCGTGGGACTCTCACACAACCTGTTGCTGCGTTCTCCGGCCTTTCGTCGGCTCTGTTGCATACCGAGGACCAAGTCTGACTCGGATACTCCTTACAGGGATATCGTGTCTGCCTTGACTACCAAATACAGTTTTAAGAAATGATGTCGTTTGAACTGTCAGAAGAGCTGTCCCATAAATGTTGCATGGGTAATTAAGTAGTGCTGTTCTGTTGAGATGTATTTACTTACTGTAAAATGTTGCAGCTGGAATTATATTTATTTTCCAAATAAAGCATTGACTGACTGATTCATCAGCACAAGCGTATGTTTATTGGGAAGCTGTGTTTCGAGGGTGGTTGTTTCACAATTAGAATACTCCCAATAATGCGGGTTTGTTTCCTCAACTGTTGTAAGGAGTTGTGCAGATGAATAGTCAATAAAATCATGACTCATCTAGGCAGCCACCTTGTGGGCAAGCTGGTCTGACCCATGGGCTAGCGAACAGCAAGTTTTGGGGTGATGGAGGAGGCTAGATGGACTGATGCTGTAGTTATTGGTGTATTTAATTAAGACAGTGGTGCAGATTGATCAGTAATGAGGTGTAGTTGTTGGATATCCAGGTGTTTCACGTGGGTGGTTCTTCATAACAGTTCTGATAGCTGATTTCCTGCAACTGCAAAGTCAACGAGGCTGTTGTCAGTCTCTTGTGCATTAGATTTGGAGTTAGGAGGACAGCTTCCTTGTGTCGTTTCTGGCAATCACCTGTTGAGTGACAGCACTCTCTTTCTTCCTGATGTCTTTGTCCATGAGTAAAATAGAGTAGCAGCTGCTTATTGTATGTACTAAAATGAGGCAAGTAGCACCTTGAAAAAGAATGAATGATGACAAGAAAAGAACTGTATATCCAATGTCTTTTTTCAAGTCCTAAAGGTCAAGTGCAAATATTTTATGCCATAAAGGATCCCTGTGCAGTATTTCTTTCATGTAAAGAGCAGAGTGATTGCCCGTGGGCACTTTCTATAAGGGTGCTCAGGTTCACATCTCGCCTTGCTCTGCATATGTCTTAAGTCAGCAGATGTACGTTGCTCCGAAACTGCACGCTAATGTCCGCTTACATGAAACTCTGCACAAGTTCCCATCTCATAAAAGGTTGTCTTTTTTGCTTACAGAAGCAGAAATTGGGATAGAGGGTGGCAAAGCATTGCTTGTGGTTGTTGCTCTCAGATAGTTGTCATAGCGCAGAGTCAGGATGAATGATGTTTTAACTGTTGAAGTTAGTGCTCATTAATCTAAAATAATAGGAAGTGATTTTTAAAATAACTGGGATTTTTTTTGTCATTAGAGAATATGATTTACACTGTGCAAGAGAGAAGCAGGTGGAATACCAGGCAGACGTAGACAACAGTAACAAGCCAACAGTCACATGCCTTTGTTGCGGTGGAAAGAATCTGTAGTCTTGTTGGTTTATTTCTTTGATAGTTTGTTTACTGTCGCCTTGACCTCTGAGCAAAAGATGGGGTTGAACGAGTTCATCAAGGTTTGGTGTGTAGACAGGGCGGGGATGTTTTTTTCAGAAAAGTTGTTTGAAACTAGATGTTTCTCATTTTCAGTCCTGAATACCACACTTAATGTTGGCTTTTAGTGGTTGTATTTTTGCTAGGGGAAGGTATGGCGATATTCTCTCATGCTTACTTCAGAAGCTTATAAAAATTCATATAAATTCTAACTTTGTGCTGCGTTTGATTTGAATTTAATACTGCCATATGGTTTTTCAGACTGCAATCTACCCATTAGACAGGACAATGACAGCAGTAGCTGTTGGGCTTGGTTTCTTGCTGTTGATTAACATAGTCACCTGGTGGCAGGATAAAAGCAGGTCTATATCCTGATCTGCTAGTGTTTCTTTGAAGACATCTCAAAAATGTCTACATTTGATTAAATTAATGGTATCTGTCAAAATATTCCCTAACAATAACTTTTCTGTAAAATATAAAGAAGCTTCCAATTTATGTATAGTTTCTGAACTTCAGCCAGTTACAAATTCCAAAAATTTGCTCCATGAATTCTTTAAATACATCCAGTACCATGAGAAACAGTGGAATTTTAAAAATGCTTTTCCTAGCATTGCGGAAAAAAGCACCCACAAAGTAGAAATAAGTACCATAAACCTTAAGAATCTCTTGGGAACATTAAGCTGACCTTTAAACAGTAACAGAAATAAGTCAAATTCAGTAAATGTTTCTACTTGACCATACTGGATGGAAAATTGGGAAAAAGGGATTATTAGATACCATCCCAGGTATGAAAGAAGATTCATGGATTTCAGCCACAAAAACTCTCTGATGACTGTTGAAGGAAAAAGGTGGGACAAATTGTAAAATAAACTATAAAACAGGAAGTGTCCCACCCAGCATTGAAGAAACCCACATGCCTCAGACAGGCTTCAGTCTTGTCTGAGAGCTGATACCACAAGCCCTTAGTAAACGAGAGACAAGAAGGCTGGAAAGAGGCAAAAAACCACCTTTTTTTTTTGAAAGACGGTGTTTATATACACCTTCAGGCATGCATGTATACACACAAACACGCCTCTCCAGTCTTTCTTTTAGCCTTTCTCCACAGTTCCGTGATTTTAAGAAAACAGTTTTATATTTACTGATAATGCTCAGATTAAAAGCAGGGGCAGTTCAGCAACTTGAACTTGAATAAGAAAGTGTTACCCCTGTCAGAGTGCACTTTTTCCAGATTCTTTTTCAGTTGAAAGTAACTGAGTGCGGAACAGTCATGCTGAGGTCCTTAAAGCCATACTTTGTGTTTCAGCATCACGAGATGAACAAAGAAAATAAAATTGTTCCATGTAGTTTGTTTCTAGTCCCGTACTGTTTCTAGTCCTGTATTAACTGGTACTTTAGTGCTTCTCTGTAGCTATCAGGGCTATCCACTGACGGGCCATAACCAAGACCTGAGCTGCTCGTGCAGCTGAGCGAGCCACAAGCAGGCACCCTTGCTTTGCAGGCAGCCCATGTGTACATGGGTAACGGGCCAAGAGCAGAAGTGAGCTCACAGCACGTAACGGGTTATCAATATCAAGACATGACAGGTTCAGTGCGAGGAATCGCTGTGTGGCACGGCGAGACTAAGCACAGGGTTTTATTCTGTAGCTGGCCTGCTTGCTCCATAATTTGTGGCCCTTTCTTCCAGACATTTATTGACATTGCTTCCTGACAGTGCCTTGAAGCCTGTCTGAAACCAGTGATAAGCTGTGCTTGTATAGCTGCAGGATATTAGTCTTGAACTGGTAGGAGAAATGAAATCCGTTACTGGTATCTATGTTTTATGTTCCCTAGACTTCACCTCTCATTTGGGGGAAGGAACAGGAGAATGCTCTGTTTTATAGGAAATTTTCTCCTAGCCTTTTTTTTCTAGGCCTTTAAATTAGCATTAGTTAATCATACATTATCCATGTGTCTTTTGTCCTCCTTTTCCTCCTTTTATTTATAAATGCCTTTTTTTCTCTTTTTTTTTTTTTTAATAGAAGCACCTTAACAACTGTGTAGGTTAACATGGAGATACATCTGTGGATTTTTTTAAGTTTTGTTACAAGTATATGTGCTCCTTACCCCAGAAACTGCCGTGTGTCTGAATTTAAAACACTCTGATTTTAGAATAGTTGCTTCTGTGCTTTGTGTAAATAACTGCATTCATCTTAAGTTTTTTCTTTGTTAAAATGAAGGATAAGGAATTATTTATTTTAAATTTGTAAAAGAGTCCAAGTTACTACTTCGATGTCAACTAAATAACCAAATTACTAAATTACAAAAAAAAAATGGGAGCAAAGCTTTTAACACAGCATTTGAAGCATTTATTTGGACTGTGGTGAAGGCTCAGTGAAACTCAAGGAGAACTAGTTGCACCATATGCCCACCAATTCTGTTGTTCATATGTGTTCATCTTGCCACTGTGTTCATGGGTCAGCCACTTGGCCATTTGTTGTGTGATGGAATTGGAGAATCCTGTTTCTCCTTTTTGGAGAAACTTTTGGAGTTGCTTTTCGGCACCTTGGCAAACATATTTGGGCTTTCGAAATACGGGTTTTGATAGGGTAGCGCAAGTCAGCTTTCCGTACAAGGAACAATATGTTCCAGCTTGCTGCCTACTGTATATAGATCTGTGCTCATGCAGCTGAAACATTACAGATGGGGCTGAGATACCGTTTCTGACTGAGAACAGCGACTCTGGAGAAGTGCGAAGTGCGGGTGTCCTCGTACCAGTAATGCTGGGCTTGCACGAGTTTGGCTGGTTTACCTGTGGAGATGTTTTCACCGTCCGGTTATGAATCTCAGAACGTCTACGGTGCAGCTACATCTGTGTGCTGCCAGGATATTCTTACACCAAAAAACCCCTTGTGCGTGTGAAACTGCGAGTTAAACGAGGCAGCGAAAAACATCTTATCCAACAATACCTAACAACTTAAAAACTGCAGGCAAGGAGGTCATGGCACAGGGTCCAAACTGATGTGATGGAAGTCCTTTCCAGGGTCGGATCAGATGTAGGAAATTGTTTCTAGTTTTTTAGAGGGTGTGACAGGTATTTCTGAACGTCATAATGCCGTTTTGTCTCAGCTGAAGGTGCTGGAAAAAGTATGTGCAAAGGTGGAGTGAATTTTTGGCTGGTAAACTGGCCGTAGGGGGAGCTGGTACTCCGTGCAGCTCAAGGAGAGACGTCCCCTTCACCTTAGCATGGTTAACCTGGAATGGGTTCATGCTTCCAGCTTGGGAAGAGGGCACGCCGAAGCTGCTGGGCAGGGCCTTGAACCAGATAGGTTTATTCTGTAGTAAAAAATAACGTGGGATTTTGCGGGAAGCACGAAGAGAGCCCTGAAACTGGTCACTGGAAAATGCCTCCTACAGGTTAACAGCTCTGTCGGGACACCAAGTGTTTAGTACACGCAGTGGACTTTGTTAGATTTGCTGGTGTTTGGTCTGTTTGAGTGTCTGCTACTGTCGAAGATTTGAGTCACCCTAGGCTTCGGAGGAAGAAGCATCTTTGTTTTCTTTGGTGTTCTGTCTGTGGCATATATACATAAGCAGTGTATCTAGTAGTTACGTACAGGTATGTAGATACATGTACACCATGTGTTTTCATAAATATATGTTCCTGTATGCAGGTAATTGTGTGTATTCTCAACAGCTAGCATGCATAATGGCTGTCCCAGGAGATACTTGTCAGGTGCGGATTTAAACGTGGGGCTCTGTCAGCAGTGATAAGCAGTTATATTAGATGCTTTGTTACAATTTGATG